AGGGGTGCCCGGGGGTGCCCAGGGGTGCCCTATAGCCCTATAGCCCTATAGCCTTATAGCCCTACAGCCCAATAGCCCAATAGCCCTATAGCCCTACAACTCTATAGCCCTATAGCTCTGTAGCCCTATAGCTCAATAGCCAAATAGCCCTATAGCCCTATAGCCCCCTAGCCCTATAGCCCTGATTGGGTTTCTCCTCCGGTATCATGTTTTTCGAGCCGAGCGTTGTTTGCCCAGTTTCGGACCCCAGGATCCTCACGGATCGATCTGGCTCGAAAAGCGACGCAGGGAGGCGGGGTCTGGGACTATGATCTTCATTGTTGCGGTATTTCGTTGGAAAAAATGCCCGCGCCCCCGACCCGCCTGCCCCTCCCTGTCAAGACGAGGGGCGAGATCTTCGCGTCGGGTTGATCCCTCGGCCGATCACTCCGCCCGGCCACGTGGTCTGACCGCAGCCCCGACCACGATGGCCGCCTCGCTGAGCACGGATCGACAGCACACTCCAGCTCGGACGATCGCGTGATCAAGCCGAACCGATCACGCGAGCGGCGATCACTTGATCCCCCGATCACTGCGATTTGTGATCGCCGATTGCGCGGTCAGCAGCCACTGAGGGCAGAATGAGGACGGGCTCCCAGACAAACGGGGGACATGGCGACCCCGATCCCAGGCTTTGTGGGGCTTTCGAATGGACCAAACATCTGAAGCCAAAGACGGGGATATACGACTGGGGGGCGTCCATCCTTAATGGGCGTGCGTCCGAATAGCTCCCCAGGATGTATCCCCGAATATCTCCACGGCTCTGAGCGGCCTAGCTCTTCGGGGGGCACTCGGGGATCGGGGTCGATAAATCGCCTGCGACAGACATGCTCGTGTCGCGAGAAAAAGAAACGACTGCGCTTTTTCGACGTTAACGGCGTCGGGGGGGCCGTCTCCGGGCCCCAAGACAATCAACAACGACTCGAGATGGAAAACCCGCACTGGGCCCTGGGGAGAAGGTCGGGACTTCCGGGCACCCCGCATTGGAAAAGGCAAGGCGTCGCATGTCTGGGGAAATATTCGGGGCAGGGGGCATTTCCTGGGAGGCCTTCGTGGGAAGGATGAAGGGCTACGGTGGGGGCATGGGACAAGGAACCCTTAGATAAGAAATCCAAGGTCTGGAGACAGTGGGACTCCAATCGCGGATCGGCCATGGATATCACCGCCGCCCTAATCAGATAAGGAATCCTCCAGGGTCTGCAGCCGCTCAGGCACATTTCTTAACGAACGCCCCGACTGTATCAGGCCCGATCGAGGGGCCACTGAACTGGGCAAAAGCCGGACACAGCCCAAAGATAATAAGCCGAACTCGCTCGGACGAGTCGGGATTTGGCCATGGAAGGACAGTTTTCGACCTAACATCTACCAGCGCCGATGCTGAATTCAACTTCTCAGGAGTCGTAACATATCTCGGACGACGGCAGATCGAGGAACTCTTAAAGCCGGCGGACTTGGAAGAGTTCTCGGGCGTCGCAGCCAGTCCCAGAGCGCTCCGGAACACTCTGGAGCGATGTATCCTCATCCAAGGCCTGTCAAACCTGTACCATTCCCACCCCGCCCTGGCCCACCTGTAGAAGCGCCTCCTCCCCTCCCTCAATTTCCCTCCCTTCCCCCCGCCTCGCCCGTCGCCTCATGCCCAATTGGAGATAGTGCCCCCGCCCCTTGCTGCCCTCCATCCCTCCATGCTCAGCATCGCCCCATACAATACCTCGCTCCCCCTCTGTAAACTCCGCTCCCCCCCCCCCCTTAGACGGAAACGCACGTCTTCCTCGTTCCAGGTTGGATGCAACCGAGCAGTTCGAAAACATCCTTGCGGCCTTGGTCACGTCGCACACAGCGCGCCGAAACGACCACCAGAGACTGCGGGTTTCACACGGAGACGCTAGTTGCACAAGCATTGCAGCATGTGGTTGGGCATGCCAATATGCGACAAAGAAAACCATACTAGCAAGATTTGCGAACATTGGAGGCGCACGTCGGACACGAACATGTAGAACACGAACTCGCTAATACGTACGACATCGTTTCCCGACAGGCGTGGCCCGAAAGCGCCCGCAACGGAGCCTGTACTGACAAATGTATGAGCACGCACGTCGCCCTTGCGGGGCCGACGTACGCGTCTCAACTATCGCGGAGGAGCCCAGCGGCACGGTGAGGAAACGACCGACGACAACGACAAGGGCGAAAGAGAAGGGTAGCCGGGAGGGACACGCGGCAGCCGCGCCGCCGCTCCTGGAGCGGCTCCAGGGCGAGCCACCTGGCTCTATCAGGGGCGCCTGGCCGCGCCTGCGGGCGAACGCACCAGGCCGCCCGCCACCCTGCTTCGCTGCCGCTGGCGTGCTCCGCAGGCAGCATCAGCAGCGTGGCGGCCCGCGGCGGCAGCGCCGGGGACCAGCCGCCGCACGTCCGGCTTGGGAACCGCGCCCAGCACGGCGCCCAGCAGCCGCACCGCGAGCACGCCACCCACGCGAGACCCTGCGCCGCCACGTGCGGCTGCCACGCGCCACTCCCGAATAGCGCCTTCGCCGCGGCTGCCTCCCCAGCACGGGTGCACGATGGAGGCGCGACACCCGCATGTTGCCCAAGCCGCGCCCGCATTGGCGCCGCTGCAGTGGCGGCGACCGCGGCAGCGAATTCCTCCCGCGGCGCCCGCCTGCAGCAGTGCCTAGGCGCCACCAAGCGTCGCCGCACCCTGGGCACGCCTGGGCCTGCGCTGCCGTGGTTGGCTTTCATAGCAGCAAGCTCCACGGCGGCCGCCGCGCGCTGGACCGCCGCGAGCACTTCCAGCTGGAGGGGGGCTGGAGAAACGCCAGCGGCGGGAGCCCGTCCGCCGCGGCGTTCCTGGCTCAGTCCGCTGTTGACATGCCCCGATCGGCAGCTTCCTCTCGGGTCAGATGGGTTTTCGCCCACTGGGCCCGCAGCACCCCAGTGCGGCAGTGCGGCGCGATCGCCTCCCCGCCAACTCATGGGGTTCGCGCCGCCGTGCGAAGCGGCCACCCCACGCGAGAGGAACCGCGAGTCGGTGACGACCTCTGCCAGCGCCCCAGCCAAGCTGCACGCAGGAACGGCGTTTTTTGTTGAGCTCCACGCTCTGCCCGCCTCGTTTAGCCAGGCACCCCACGGCGGGGGGAGAGAGCCTGCAGCTCCGCGCGCTGCGACGACTGGCGGCCCTCGTGGCTGTCGAGGCGCCCGCCAGGGAGGCCCTCGAGGCGCAGGAGGCCCCGCCCCGCCCGGGCGAGCCGCGGGTCGGCAGGGCGCGGGCACGAGCCGGCGGTCCCCGCGCGGGGCCTCCCCGGCGCGCCAGCTCTGGGGCGGCGGGGCCTGGCCACGGCGGCCGCGGCAGCGCCCGTGGGGTGCCTCTCGCCACGGCCGCCAGGTGGGGGCCGCAGCGCAGCACCGCGGTGCGCGCGGCCTCGGCAGGCAGGCAGGCGCGGGCAGTCGCCGGGGGGAAGCCGCTGGCCGCGAGCGCCGCAGTGCGGGTGGCCTCTGCAGCACGGGCAGGCCCACAGCCGGTGCTCGAGGTCCTCCACCGCGGCGCCACAGGTGGGGGGCACGCCGGCGGCCGCCCCCACGTCGCCTCCACGGACTCCATGGTCACGCTGCCAGAGAGCGGTATGGCCACAGCAGTATGACCAGAAAGCGCCCGCCACCCAGCATAGACCATCAAGATTTCCTAGCACGCGCGTCGCTCCATGGGTGATCGACGCACTTTTTCCGTCGGCGGCGAGGCAGGGGACCTGTACAAGCGATGAGCGAACGGGGCGACCGAAACGCGAATTGGCCGGCATGCAGAAAAGGGGGACAAGACAGAACGAGCGGCCGCACACAGAATACAAGCATATGTGGATGATGCCGACGATATGCGGAAATGCTCGCGGGTCTCTTTGACCATGTCCCGCGATTGCCAAATCGACCAAACACACACTTCCATCATCTGGCGATGTAAATGTTTTCGGTCCGCTGCCCCAGTGGTCTCAACAACTTCCCTGGAGGGAGCGTTTCGCCCCAGATCCGTTCTTGATGACCGCCAGGCCCAGCAACAAGAAGCCAACGTCTAGGAAAAACGCCGGGACCGAAAAAGCCCTGTCGCCCGAGATCTGGGCCTGGGCTCTCTCCTCCACCTCCTCCTCCTCCTCCTCCTCCCCCCCTCCTCCTCCTCCTCCTCCTCCTCCTCCTCCTCCTCCTCCGCCTCCTCCTCCTCCTCCTCCTCGTCCTCCTCCTCCTCCTCCTCCTCCTCCTCCTCCTCCTCCTCCTCCTCCTCCTCCTCCTGCTGGGGCTCCCAGAACACTTGCTGTGACGGAGCGTGCGGCGACCTTGGAACCCCCAAAGACCTCACCGCACGGCGGCACCGTTCGGGCCCCCACCCTCCTCCCACGACATTTTCCTCGACAACGAAGTACACCCTCCAACAAACCGCGCACATCTCGCACATCAACTGGGAGTAGCGCGAATAAAATCGCATTGCCATGCTCAGCTGGAACGAGGACGAAGGAGGACAGGGACGAGGAGGGAGGGGGAGACGGAGGAGAAAGTTGAGGGGCAGACATGCGGGGAGCTATGCTTTCGTGACCCCCGCCCCCCATAGGAGGGAACAAGCAGCAAAAGCTGCCCCTACCGCTACTCCACGGACCTCTCCTGGGGCACGCTCCGACCAGAACTTCGAGGAGAACACCCGGCCGTGGCGACGAGAGCCCTCCACGACGCAGCGGTATACCGGCACCTGCTCCTCCTCCGACCTGACTACCTACCAGACCACCCCAACCCAAGCCGAAGACCCGAATTTCGGGTGGGGGGGGGTAAGGGTTCCATATGTGTTTTTTCGATGTTTCCCGACCCCCCCCACTGGAAATCGAGGGTAAAGCTGAGCCTTCGGGTTGGGTTGGGGTGGTTTGGTGGGTGGTGACGACCATCCTCCCGCGGCGCGCCAAAGGGGGCGCCGGCGCGCGGGCCCGCCCGGCCTCGGGGTCGGGCGGGCCGCGGCGGTGCGGCGGAGGGCCGCCGGGGCAGTCGCCCGGGCGCTGGGGGCTGGCGCACGGGCTCGCCCCGGGCTCGTCGCCGCCGGCCTCGCAGGTGGCGCGGGAGGGGCCCATGGCATCCTTCGGTGGCGGCTCCCCTGCGCAGAGTGAGGAGCACGTGGGGCTGAGAGGAGGTGCTTCTCACTCGAAGCGTGCTCTGAACCAGTGGTCCAGGTCCACGGATACGAACATTCTGGGAGGAAAAGAAGCTAGAAGCTCCACCAGGGTCCGGACCAGATTCTGGACACCGTACTCTTGAAGGAAATTTGGAGTCCACAGAAGTTGACGTTTTTTCTTCCGAGTTCTGATGGGTGTACTCGTGGGAACCTCCCATGTCATCCTGCTGGCTCTTGCGAATCGACTCTAGCCGACGCTCATCCATGCTGGTCCACACTGGAAGACACGACATCGGCGCTGATCGATGCTAGATTGGCGCTGCCTCATCGACCACCCAACGCTACAGCACGCGATTGCCCTCCAACAGCGGAATGCCGCGCTACCGAAGCATCCGATGCTCTCACTAGGGGGCCACATGCGAACCCTACCCCTACCCCCCACGATTTTTCTTGGGGGAGGGTGAGGTTCACTTCGCTCGTGACCTCCCGAACGAAGTGAACCCCACCCTCCCCCTCAGAAATCGTGGGGGGTAGGGGTAGGGTTCGCATGTGGCCCCCTACTCACGACGATCGAGGCTCGAACTTCGAGGCTTTCGGGCGTCTTGGTCGGTTCTCGCCGGCGTTCCGGCCTCAGGCTGCCCTCCCAGCCGCCAGGGCCCCCTCCGGGGGCACTCCAGGGGGGTGCTGGAGCGTCCCGAGGCCGCCGCCAGAGGCCCGGGCTACGACCAGAAAACCAGACCTCCCCGCGTCGTGGCAGAATCACGACGAGAAGATTCTGGCCACTGTCGGGGGCGCGCAGACATGGATCAGCGATCCATCGATTCGGCGCGCGGTCGCCACATCCATGGATCGGGGGAGATGCCCTCCCCAAGATGCGGCCAGTGCCGCCTCGTTCGGCGGCGGAGATCCGCGATTTCCCACGGAAACGGGACCCGTCGCTAATCCACGCCCCCTTGATCCATGTTTACGATCGCTTGACGTTGTCGTTGTCCCAAATTGTTCTCGTTTATGGCCCCCAGGCCAGGCGAGATCCCCCGGAGGCGAGAAGCGACGAGAAACCGTGGCTCCTAAAGATCAGTGTTTAGGGGACCTCCCATATAGGGTCCGAGTGGATGTGGTCGGAGGGTCGCGTCGCATCGTCGATGCATCACCAATGCATCGACGATGCCACCTACTCGGACCCCATCTGGGAGGCCTAGAATCCCCAAATTGCGTTTTCACTTAGAAGGTCTCACTTGCTTTCAAAGGAACTGGCTGGGCCTGCGCGGCGGTCTGGCGGCTATGTGGTTGCCGTCGCCACCCCGTCGCTGTCTCGTCGCCGCCCGTCCTCTGGGCCTGCGCGTCGGTCCAGCGGCTATGTGGTCGTCGCCGCCGCCGCTCCGTCGCCGCCTCGTCGCCGCCCATCGTCTGGTCCTGCGTGTCGGGTCCGCCGCATTGTGATTGCCGACGCCGCCATGTCACCGCCCCGTCGCCACCCGTCTTCTGAGCCTGCCCGAGGGTCTGGCGGCTATGTGGTCACCGTCGCCGCCCCGTCGCTCTGGCGGCTACGTGGTCGCCGTCACCGCCCCGTCGCGGTCTGGGCTTGCGTGACTGTGCACTGCTGTGCTATAGTTTGCATACTTTACATTGCATGTCATTGATGTGCATCGTCTCTTTTGCGATGTTGACCTGATTTTCATTGGCTTGCCTTGTTGTGCCTTGCCTCGAACCACATAGATTGCACCGCGCAAATTCTCCATTACTCAAAGAAGATCCGGATGTACCTCCCCCCAGGACTTAACCGCTTTCCTTTTCTCGTTATGCAATTGACATATGGTTACGCACCATCGCCGTCCATCCGAAATCTGAATCCGCGCCATTCCAGCTAGGCTGGTAACGGTTCTCCCCTCATCCTCTGCAACAAGTACTATGCGCGCGCACTCGTTTATAACAAATCACAAGTTTCCAAACATCCGTTGCGACAGATGGGGCGAAGTGCACACGCGCGCGTCACCGCGCGCGCGTGCCCGAATCCTTCGAAAACCGTTGATTTCGCAAGGATGTATGCAGTCAAGCATCCCGAAAACATGTAAAGACCACATTGCGCCGCAACGAGAATGTTCAAGCAAACATGCGCGTTTCTGTTTTGCGAATTCTTGAAACAACAAAACGAACTTCACGCGGGTATGTCGAAATCGTTCGAACGCCCTTGCGCGCGTGCTGTCTCAAGAATCCCGCGCAGAAAAGGAAACGCAATGCACACGCGCGCGTCGTCGCGCGCGAATGCCCAAATCTTTCGAAAACCGTAGGTGTCGTAAGGAGTCGAAATGAGCGTTTCGAAACCATTTTTTCAAACAAGAAACAACAAAAAAAGGGGGTTCGCAACGTCAGTGTTCAAAAAAACCTGCGTTCGCGCTCTTGCGATTCCAGAAAAAATCCCGGTTTGTTTTCAACATGTTCATTGAGCTCTGTCAAACAAGCCTCATGTGCCACATGTCAAATTCATTCGAACGCCCTTGCGCGCGTGCCGTGGGGGGCACGGCCTGTCAAAAAAACACCATGCGGGCCCCTTTCGCGCATCGGCCGCGCGCGCATGTCGAACTCCTTCCACAACCTTGATCATCGACGCAAAGACGCCGTCATCGTCGTCGACGTGGCCAGCATTGGCGCCGTCACTGGCCGTGCGGTCTTCGTCGTCAACATCGTCACCAGCATCGCTACTATCATCATCGTGTCTACCGTTGTTGGCATTGCCATCATAGCGCGCCCGCCGAAGTCGCCTCGCACTGAAAAGCCCGCTGGGAACTGCCCGCCGGTCAACGCAACCGCGGCCGCGTCGGTCGCGCCAAACTCGCTGGCCGCTGCGCGCGCGAGCATGCGCAGGCTAGCGCGGCCGCAAAGATGCACCAGTCAACGGCAAGCGTGCCTTTTCGAACCAAAATGCAGGGGGGGTGGGTGGGATAATTGCGCGAACAATGGAATTGACAAATGCGAGCTCCACAAATGAGTTCGCCCGTCACGAAAGAAAAACGATTCTACCACTATCACCCCGCGGACTTATCGATGAGGGCTAGCGCATCGCAGCTTACATATGGTCATGCCTTTCTGTACAATTTCCTTATGGATCCATACCGTCCCAGCCAGCCCGGAATTCAGCCCCCTTCTCATCCCCTGAAAAATCTACGCGCGCACTCGTTTACAACAAATC